TCGTGGTTCCGATTGTCTTCATCAGCCGTAGCACCAGCAAGATGGGCAGGGAGATCTTGATACCGGTGCCGGGGTACGACAGTATGATGGCGATGGCGTGAGCCGCTCTCTTGCAGGCCCCCTCCTTTGCGTTCCTCTTCCTCCGTCCCCTCCTCGTTGCCTGGGTGCCCGGGCTCTCCCAGTTCTTAGTTAGTGGATCTGGCCTGGTTCTCCTGCGGGGCAGGTGATCCTTGCTTCCTAATACCCCTTTGTGTTTCACTTGTCCTCCTCTGCTCCTCCTCCTCCTCCTCGACTCCTCCCCTTTTTGAGCGGCAGATTCGGGGGATGCCAGCCCGTCGATTTTGGTTCCCCTGCGGGCCGTTTGTTGTCCCAGCCGCGTGGCCGATAGCGTCGCAACAAGGGCTGGCGGGGAGCGGCACTGGGCTCAAAATTGTACCGCGTCAAAAAAAAAAAAGAAGCAAAGCTGGCACAACTGGGGGCCGAAGTCACACCGGCCAGCCGGTTTGGTACAGCTGATGCGGCCGCGATGGCGGTTGCCGACGGGAACTGGCGAGCGCGTGTTGAACGCCGCGCACGCATTGCCAGACGAGTCGAGAATGGCCTGGTACACCGCAGGAAGCCAGAGGTGGCCGGAGGAAGCCCGACGGTCTGACAGGACACCCCACAGCATTTTTGTGAAAAAGCATTGGGTTTTTGATGTTTTTATGATGAAATGCTTGCAAACACACGGTGTTCGGTAGGATTCTGACACGAACGCGCGAGTGTGCTCTTTGTGGTATTCTTTGCACAGGATTCGCGGCCTGGGTGCATGACAGAGCATCGCGAGTGCACCGCGCGATGACGTGAAATCGCTGGTTTGGACCGAATTCTTAAGATTCCGATGGTTTTCCTATGATTTCAGCAAGAGAGCCCGGGCGGGAAATTTGTACATTTTTTGTGAAAAAACATTGGGTTTTTGATGTTTTTATGTTGAAATGCTTGCAAACACACTGTGTTCGGTAGGATTCTGACATGAACGCGCGCGTGTGCTCTTTGTGGTATTTTTTGCAATGGATTATCGCCGTGGACGACAGGACGTCCATGTCGAGAGGAAAAAATAAGAAACATGTTGATTTTATATTGTTTTTACAGGTTAGGACGGGACCCCCCGGATGCGGCCCCTAATGGCCGGCCTGAGGGGGGAGTAGGAGTATATTCCAATAAGGAATAAGGATAAGAGTAAGAGTAAGAGTAAGAGTCCCAGGACAGTGTCCACATCCCTTAACATCAACACGGGAGCCCCTTCTGTGCTCGCCTGGCCTTCTCCTTGGTACTATATACCTTAGGCCATAAACCTCTCTGAATTCGATCGAGATACTCAGCTCGGGTGGACGTCCCCTGATCAGGGCAGGCTCTTCCTAACCCAACGAGCTGCTGATCACAGAACATACCACACGACGCACAGAACCACACCTGGACATCCTGATTAAACCGCATCTTGTGCGAGACATGGACAACTCCCCCCGCGAGGTGCAGCTCGACCCCCCTTGGAAGAACCCGAAGGGACCCATCTAGAGCAATCAACCTGAAACACGGAGAAGCACGCCACTTCCGCAACTCGGAGCTCGACGAGGACCCGCGACACCGACGGCACCGACGCCCCGATTCGTCGAGCGCGTGCTGGGTGTTAAAAACAGACAGGGCGTCAGGACAAGGGGGAGGCGGAGGGGGAGGAGGAGGAGGAGGAGGGGGGGAGGAAACACCGCTCCCGACTCCTTCACTCACAACTCCGAGCGGACCCATCCGCCCCTGGCGCCCCGCCTTCTTCTCGAGCTCCTCCGCGGCCAGGGCTTCCAGCGACGCCCTCAGCAGGCGCATCCGCACGAGGAGCGCCTCGTGCTCCACCTGCTGCACCTTGGCCCTGACCGCCTGCGGCAGCCGAGCCTCGCTCGCTGCCTCGCCCGCCAACCTGTCGGCCAGCGCGTTGCCCCGCACCAGCCACAGAGGCGTGCCGATCTCCTCGGCCTCCGCCTCAGAGAGGTGCGAGTTCACGAAAAGGACCACAAAATGGGCGGGGTCCCGCTCCTGGAACTCGATGCCCACGAAAGCCCAGAGCTCAGCCAGGTCCCCTTGCGGGTGGCGGTACCGCTGTGCATACCATCCATCGTACACCATCTTATTATCACACACATACACTGCGAAGTCGCTAGTCAGACGCGCAGCCATGAGGAGCATCGTCAACTCTCCGCGCGGCACGTTCTGCTCACCAACGAGCGGATCCTGCAGCGTGGCGATCTCCTCCAGGTCGGCCTCCGACTTGACGACTGACAAGCCACGCCCAACGCGACGGAACCTCGGGTCACGGGAGTCGGGCCCCCCGCTAGCGTCCCCGAACATCACGATGGGCGCATGCTCTGCTCCTGGTCCCAGGCTGTTCTCCTCCGTGCCGTTCAGTAGAGCGCCTGTACCTGTCCACGCCGCTGCTGACGGCGGTGACGGCAGACTGGTCCATCCCTTGGGAATGACACCCCTCAGCCAGAAAGCCTCATCCGCCTGGTGCTGGGTCGTCGCCTTCGGCAGTAAGTCCTCCGACTTGACGTAAGCCTCAGCACCTGCGTTGTGCTCACATCCCCAGTACCTGTGGAAAGCGTCTTCCTTCTTGACCTTGCACCGCGGGCACCACGGGCTGACCTGGACCTTGGAGGCGGACTCTGCCCTCCGTGCCCTGGGCCAAGCCCCACCAGCTGCAATAGAGACAAGAAGCTCCTCCAGTCGCCGCCCACGTGGTAGACGACGAAGGTACCGAAGCAGAAGCCGCAGTGAGAAATGATCTGCTCCCTGCTCCAAGCCAGCCCCACAGAAATGCTTGGCTGCCCGTTCCCAGAATCCAACAGCAGAAGAATAATCGAAATCGACGAAGAAGCCACTAATCTTGTTGAGAGCCATCTCTACGTTGTACTCGGCCCGAAAAATGCCAACATGTCGGTGACTCGGGTACCCAGCCGCGCTCAATCAAGGTTAAGATGGTGGCCGACAACGGACCGCGGACCCACCGTGAACGATGAGATGGTGGCGTATTCTGGAATCTTCTGACCAACAGCGGCCACGCACGGTAGACCCCTGGCCGAATCTGCGCCTGAGTAAACCATTGATGCAACCATAAACTCAAAACTTCACGAGGCATCTGAATACCAGGGCCCGCCGATTCGCCACGAATAGACAAGAGAGTGGTGGTGCACGTGCCTTTACCCCCTGAACAGGACGCCGCGGCTAAATCTCTGCGACATTGTTGGGGACGTCGGCCGAAGGTCCCATGGATAGACTGACCGAAATTGCCTGCGGCCTGCGCCCCCATCTTCTCCAGACGAGCCGTGACGTGCTATCTTTTTGAAGCCCGCGCAAAACGAATCACTTTGGAATGAAGCAGCCGCTGCTTCAGTCCACGTTTGGTGCGAACCTCACGGGCAGTGCGACGACCCCCACCCTGATCCACTCCAAGGAGGCCAGCCTGCAGTTGCGCTCTCACAACCAAGCCTCGCTTCCTCAGACGACGCACTATTTCTTTAGCATCCCCATGGTGCGAGCAAATGACACAATATTTAGCTGCGATCTTGAGCTTGAACGAAGCTAGTTCGGCTGCGGTGTCGGCCAAGCAAGCCGTGAGCCTATCTCGTACTGCAGCCCTCGAT